TTGGTGTCGATTGGTCTTTATCATAATCATAGAATGGACGTTTGTGTTTTTCCAAATAACCATCTCTCAGCATATTATGTAGACAACAAGCTACCCAAATCAGATTATCACAGGTTGATGTTTCAATATTAATTGRATGGTAAAACACCCTAAAAATTTGACTCAATAAACCGAAAGCGTTTTCGGTTACTCGTCTTGCACGACTGAGTCTGTAGTTGAATGTTTTCTTCGTTACATCGTTTCTACTTGCTTGTTTTGTATATGGCTTCATAATATGGTGATGCAATCGGAAAGCCTCATCACCAACAATCACATGGGGYACGACTATGTCAGACCCAGGTAATACACAATCTTCGGGAAAACCAAACGAACCATTTAATACTTGTTTACCCATAACAGACTTCAGAAAAATTCCACTATCGCCTTCCTTTCCATAGGAACCTATGTCAACTACTATAAATTTATAGTTAGCATCAACCATAGCGAGTAAAACTATGGAAAAAAAATCCTTATAATTGTAAAATAAAGATCCAGAATTGTTTGGACTACGTATCCGTATATGTTTGCCATCAATTGCAAGAATGCAGTTAGGGAAATTCCATTTGCAACTAAATTCTGCAGCTTTGGATTTGAAATCGATAGTACTTGGATTAGGTATAAAAATTGGAACTAATTTTGTTTTCAAAACGGCCAATGTTTGTTRAACAATTTTGCTTATATAGCTRTGACAAACACGAAAACCAAATGACAATGAWCGAAAAGATTCACCAKTAGCCATATATCTACAAAAATATTACGTATTAATTTATTATTASCCTATACATATTATTTTTAAACAAATGTACACATACCTCAAGGTAATCGCCAACTTTTCTGATGCAGAAATGKGGGTTTTCACTCTATTTGAAGGTTGTTTCGTAAGATCGAATTCAACTAAAGATAATATGAAATTAAACTGGTTGTGATTGATGCGAAAAAACTCTCGAAATTTTGTTTCATTTTCAAATAAATGTCTATTTATCAAAATTTCAAAATAACCTTCAGACACACGATTATTAAATAAAACCTTATTTGGATTTAAATAATTACGTAAAAATAAATTATCTTCTTCCKCCTCTTCTTCAAGSAAATCAATGATCATTTTGTTATTATTAAAAACGCACATTAAATTGGACATGGTTTAACACTTAAAATATACGTMTTAACACAACAAAATGCGAAGAACGACTAAACAAATAATGATATTATGTTTAGAGCCGCGGCGATTTGTATGTCTAGGAAACCAGTCAGACTTCGGCGGCTGATCGCGACGGCTGGTCGCCGCGGCTAGCCGCGCCTTGGAAACCGTACCTTTACCCGCCTTTTTCAACTGCTATTGTAAAAATATATTATGAGCCTTGTATTAAATTTTCAAGCTTTTCTGCCCAACAATTTTTATCGATATTAATTTTAAAAAAACTAATAATGATCGAAAATTTCAAATGCCTATGAGTAGTTCAACTTAARTCGAAAATTTTTGAAAATTTCACGGTGGATAGAATATACTTATATAAACATTCGGTAAAAATTTCATGTATCTATAGTTATTTGTTTTAAAATTACATCAAAAACCAAAATCTATTTTGTCAAAAAATTAGTGTGCGTAAAATGTCCTGGTTTTCCCTTAATTTTTAGTTTGTTTTTCTTAATTATTTAGAAAAGTATTAAGAATTTATCGCTTTGGACCCCCCCTCCCCCAAAGTACCAACTAGATTCACTTTCTGATCTAATGAGGTACTGAAGTCAAAAATCGAAGCACTTTTACTGCCCCAAAACGTGATGTAAGACACAAAAAAAAAAGCGGTTAAATCGTGGATGTCACTCAGCTGTACTGTAGGTTACTGTAATGGATGGGATTAAATTTGAATGCAATGATGGGTATCATTGTATACGAAAAACGATTCTGAACGGAGATCATTTGTCGGTCTAGGATATATTATATTTAATTTAAATATTGTCATAATATATTCTATTTTGAAACAAATATTTTATTTTTTAATTAAGACGCATTTTGCATATGGCATTGTTAATCAATTATTGTAGTTATATATACAAATACCTGGTTTGAGGATAAATCGTTATCATTACGCGATTTTATAAAAATTTAAAACTCAAACGCTCATAACATTTTTCCTATAATGACGCTTCAAATTTTCTCTATAGCTATTTGAAGCAAAACTTGTGGAAAACTTGGTGTTAAATTTTATAACCTTGGATATAAATACAAACAATTTTTCCAAAAACATTGCTTGTAGTTATCATAATTCATAACATTATTTACTTTAGGCATTATATAAAAATAAAAGTCACTAGTTAGATTTTTTAAACAAAATATACCGTACACTGTACACACTACACCGACGAACAACAGCCAGTAACTAATATTACTTTAATATTATGTTAGCTTAATCGCATGTCCCAGAAATCAGATTATGATATAT